AGCCTGTTATAACTAGCATTGTCAAAGGAGATCATTATGTGACCAGTTCAAAAAGGAGAATGAAATTAGCAACCAGTGGGCCAGTATCAGTTCATCAGAAACTAGGCTTGGTTCCCTCTCTGTTGCTCATTGCTTTTGGAGCGGACAGACTTTTTTAAGGAAGAAAGAGTTTTATCAGTATTACAGTCATCCCTCCCATCATCTAAATCTGCAGAATCCCTTTTTAGATCACTCTGTTTCTGATGACAAAATTCTTTGGAGTTGCCAAATCCAGTAGCCCTACGGAAGCAAGACTGTTGCAGCTCTGCCTACCCAGGTGCAGCCAGTAGCAAGACAGCACTCAATCTATCCAGTAGCTGGCCCTGGACCCTTTAATCTTCCAGTTACCTCACACACTCGTGCGTACATGCCAGCGCTCACATCTGCGCACTACGGATGGCCCTGTAACTGCCCTTAGACATTCATTCTGTAGCTGGACCTGGATCCTCAGTCTCCTGCTAGTATGCTTAAAACAGCTGCCTGTTTGTACCTGCTCCAGGGAAGATGCATGCAAGAATTTGCAGCAGAGGCCACATTTTCTATTTCTGTTACCTATTTTTCTTCTTTTATCTTGTGTGTGTCCGGTTTTGCAAGGACCTTCAATGGCAACAACTTCAGGTCATAAACTTTTCCTCCGCACATTCTCCAATGACCATTTTTCATGGCATCTTAAAGACTGACAAACAGATGTATTCATTTTTCCTCTACCATAAAGACTATTCTTAGAATAAGATCTGGACTGCTTTACATTTCAAATGCCATCACTCTTTTTCTCTTTTTTTCACCCTTCTTTTTTACTTTCAATAGAAGAAAAACTTTTAATGATGATTTTTGTCAGAGGATCCTAAAGGAATAGCTTAAGAGTAGTTCTAAATCACTTTTGAAAATAGCTGTCCAGGACTTCTGGAAACACAGGACTTAATGGTATTTGTTTTCAGTTTGAAGGAATTTTGCAAAGTTCAGAGCCTGTCATATCTCAACTACTTGAATAACGACATAGTAAACACATGTAGCATAGCTCCTTTCATGTGCAAAAGGGGAAGAAACCAAACCACAAGGCAAGCAAACTACCCAAGACCAAACCAGCAAACTGACAGGGAAATAAATACTCTGCTTTATAAATCCATATACTATAGGCTTTACTAACTTCAAAAATTGCTCTGCTGAAAAGAGTAGGACTGAATTTGGTACAGAGGACAGCAAAGCTGTAGTGAGCTGAAGAATACACCTGTGTTCAGCAATATGAATGACTTGCTTCAAAATAACCATCACAGTTGTCATCATTATTCCTACTTCACCCCACAAGCTTTTGAGCATCTTCTATAAATAAATAACCATTCACTTAAACCACGAAGAAGGAGACCTCTTTTTCAGACTGCAGGATGAAATCCATCTACAACTTACCTGGTTTTAACTCTACTTTTCCACAGTGATGCCATTTCAGAGCAAAGGCATTTTTTTTCCCAGTTTAATTCACACAAACCCATTTTTGTACAACAGAAAACTGCCACGAGAGGGCATCCTATTTCTTTCTTTCTTCAGATCTCTTACTCTCAGACAGTATTTTCAAAGAGAACCTTTCTGTACTACTTTGCACCCAAATATTTTGCATTTAGATGCCTTCTCAACCACTCCCAAAACCAAAAATAGAATATGAAAGCTCAAACCAAGGCATTTGGCATTCATAATGTTCAAGGAGCATTTGAAACTAAAGCTATTATACTTATCAGAACTGAAAAAAGTTGGGGGCGGGGAGAGAAACTGCACATCAGCACTGCACTGAAAAGTAAGTTGAATTTTATGAGGAAACACTACACAGATTTCACTCACGCTACAAGTACTCAACATGTTTAAACATCAGTTCCTAAATACTGCGTTCAGCACACAAACAAAACATCCCACTCCCACCTGAATTTCAAGGCCACAATAAAATCTCAAACAGCATTCCTTAAAGCAGAAGCTTTTCTTTCTGCTCTATCATTTGATTAAACTGTGCAACTGCACAAGTCAATGCTTCCCAGTTGGTAGGTCTAATTCATCAATCCATCCCTATAGAAAGAGTATTCATCAGTTCCAGGATAAATAAATTCCCACCAATTCCTCTTTCCATTGTTCAGGTAGCTAAATTTATTACCCCACTCCAAATATAAATCCACTCACAATTGCAAATTGAAACATAAATTAGGTCAAACTTTAAAACCTAGTAATTAATCAAGTTTGCTAATGCAGTTTGCTTATCATTTTGTCTCCATAGCCAGAGTTTTGCAAGAAGGATCTGAGCCCTGCAGCTTTTTCTTTTAGCTCTTCCAAGTGGCACTGGGGATCTATCAAGTCTTTCATTGCTGCAGATCCTCTGAGTATGTGGCTTGGAAGAGATGAGGGTATCTTAATGAACCATGCATATACAGAAGAATAATTAGCACTTTTTTCTTTTTTTTTTTTTACCTTAGAGATTTGGTAACACCCATCCACTTGACCCTCGGACATACAGGTAAAGCAGGTGCTAGCAACATGGTAGGTTAGTTGTTCTTCATGCTGACTGCTACAGAAAAAAGGGAAAATGATTTATGACATTAGAAAAAAAATATGAAAAGACAGGAAAAGATACCTTTTGCTGTAACTGATCTGCATCTTCAGCCATCTAAATGATATGAAGAATCTGGCCCTCTGTATCTTTGAAAATTTTGCTCCAGATTATCCTAAAATTCCCCAATCCAGGTTTCTTACCACTGCCCTGACCATAGTGGAAGGCTGTTTTGGCTGAAACAGCTATTAATGCTGTTTATCATGCCCAGTACAAGAGAGATGGAGCTACTGAAGAGTCGCCACTGAAAGGCCATGATGATTAAGGGACTGGAACATCTCTTATATGAAGAAAGGCTGAAAGAACTGGGACTGCAGAAAAGAAGGCTCAGGGGGAATCTCATCAATGTGTATAAATATCTGAAGGGAGGGTGTAAAGAAGAGGGATCTTTTCAGTGGTGCCTAGAGACAGGACAAAAGGCAGTGGGCACAAACTGAGACACAGGAGGTTCCACCTGAACATAAGGAAACTTCCCCTCCCACCTCCCTACTGTGAGGGTGACTGAGTACTGGCACAGGTTGCCAAGGGAGGTTATGGAGTCTCCACCTTTGGAGATACTCAAAAGCTGTCTGGACAGCAGAGATACTGCAATATTATAAAGGTATTAATTCTTACTTATGTTGGACAAATGGTCCAGTTCACCTAATTTATACAAAGCAAGCTCAACTTTCAGATTCTCTCCTCCTGTTTGCCCTCCAGCACACAAACATGTATGATGAGTAACAGAGCCAGTCTCTTAGACAGAAAGGAAACCTTTCCATAAGTTACACATTCTAATGTGGTACAAAAGCCCCAAATTTTCTATCATGATTTCTATTTCAGAATTCATGAAATGTTTACCTGCTCGTTCTCAGACTGGGAACCAGAACATACTAAGTGCAGCAGTTACTAATGCAACAAGCAGCTTAACAATACACACTTATCTTGTTACTGCAAACAGCTAAGGAAGTCAAAATAAACTAACACACAAGTATACAAAGAGTCCCCAAAATTTTATTTAAAGAAACATGTCCAAATGCAGCATTGAAAACAGAGAGTGGAATGCCAATAGTCAGAGTACTTATGCTGAGTTGTTTTCTTTGATAAACTAGCACCATTGAATCACAAGTCACAGACTATATTATTTCTAGAGATGTAAAAAACCTCCACCATTATAAAATTTCTATGAGTTCTATTAACATTGGTTCTCAATTTACTACTCCTAGACATGAAAGCAGTTTGAAGTACAAGTTTTCATATCTACTCATTGTTCAAGTTACCCATAAAAGACAGTTTATTCTTAAGTCTAAACATCCTGATCAAGGGGAAAAAATGTCTAAAAGTCAGCTTCACAAGTCTTTACAAACTAAACAAGTAAGAAAGATCTACTGTGTTATAAATACACACAGTACAATATGTACAAGTCTGATCTTACAAAATAAGAGCTTCCTAGTCCATAAAAATACTAACTCAACTACAAAATTTTCTTAGTGTTTAGTCAAGCTGTCTCAAGCAATCACTATATCAAATTCCTAATTGTTCCACAGCATAGCAGCTTGAACATGTTCACAATGGGAAAGAGCCCAATGCTTCACCATAAAACTGATTTCTAATCCTAATTTGCCACTCAAGTTTAGTGGTAATGTTCATGTTTGCTATCTATTTTAATGTCACAAGACCTTTACATATTTCTAGACTGTGTTTGAACTATTCAAAGTGCTGAAAGTGCGATCAAAGAATAGAGTTTTGTATCTGTTTTCCAGTATACCCTTCTCTGGCACTGGCGACAATAGCCAAGTATTTGTAGGTCTGTGAGGTCAAAAAGGCACACACTCATTTGTACATGCTCAGGTAAGTATGCACAGATACACACATGCACTTTGCTTTAAAGACCTGCCCCTAAGTATTAAAATGCTTCTTTTTGAGTAGGAAGCTTCAAGAATTCCTTACAAATGGTTTAATGCAGATGCCTGGAATTCATAAATACCTTGATAGAAACTGCTTAAAATGACTGAGATGGTGGTGAAAAAAAATGGTTTTGGTTTTAAACTTATGGTATCCAAGTATTACTCTAGAACACAGAGAAACAAAGTCTATGCTCTCTCTCTCTTATCAAGCCACATCCAGGTTACAGTAGCCCATGTGATTTATCATTTCATTACAGTTAACACAGCATATGTGAGCATACACATATACGTAACACTCCCTCAGTATTTGTTCTTCTATGGGAGACCATCTGCAGTCTGAATGAAAATAAAACGATTTGAAGAATGTTTCAAGCAATATCCTTTTGTACCTACACATACAAGTACAAGAAATAACAAAACTGAACTGCGCCTCAACCAGAATACAGACTTTCACCGATACGCAAGTTAACATTGCTTTTCACTTTCCTTCCCTACAGTGGTCTTCTATGACATGCATCATAATAACTAGTGCTGTTAAAAACTAAGAACATATCCCTCTTGACAAAGTTCACAAATTTTTCTAGTGGGCACATTGGCTTGCTGGAACGTTTATAATAATCCTTGCAAAACGAGGTCTGGAATGTGACATCAGCTCCATTATACAGGATGCGGATAAAGTGTTCTTTGGGCCTCTTTCCATCCTGCCACAGCTCAAAAACTAATCTGGCAGCAAATCTTGGAAATCTGGCCTCTGTAATGCCCAAGGCACTAAGAACAGGTGACAACGTGACATCATGTGCAGAGTAAAGAACAAATACTTCTTCTTTCTTGCCTTCTGCAATACGCTGCAGCCGATTAACAGTCTGGTTGAGGAGAGGATGGGTAGCCAACAGTGCATACAAGAAATAAAGTTTCTTTTCCTGTCTTTCTCTCTCATCCTCCAACTGATGTCTTTTGATTACTTTGAAGTGTTCCATACCAATGCAGCCAGTTTTGGTACACGGAAAACTGACATTGTGGCAAAAATAGCACAACAGAGAATCTATTGGGTTAGAAGCTCTCAACTGCCTGGTAGGGATGCCTACAATCTTTGCCATATCCACATATATTTTCTCCAAATCATTGTTTTTCACCCGTAAACTGTACTGTCTGCGCTGTTCCTCTTCCAGGTAGTGGTTTCGCATAGGACAGTCACAGCTTCCAGAGCAAAAAATGGTGCTCCACTGATGCCTCATGTTAATTTTCTTCCAGTCAAAATCTGGCATAAAAGTGTAGAGCAGTGCCAATGCACTCTGCAGGGTTCGACTTTTTCCTGTTGTCTCCAAGTAGAGCTGTTTTGCTGTCCAGTCACTCAGAAGCAGTTTATGTTTGTTTATATAAATTTCTCGTAATAGTTGTCCGTTTCGCAAGTGTTGTACAACCCCTGGAAGAGATTTTTTTAAAGAAGTTACAACACATGATTAGAATCTAGTTTTGGAGAAAAAAATAAAATACACAGCTAGCAGTTTTACTGATAAATGCACAATTAGTTAAAAGGTTATGAAATTCAAAACTGAACTTCACCTATGCTTGACTATTAGAAAAATTGCACAAAATATGAGATACTTGCTATTCTTCAGTATCTCTTGGATTCTAGGAGCTAAACTGAGATATAGATAGAAGAAGCTGGTTCCATAAAATTTGTTTAAAACCTTAGTGGCTTAATGTTTGATCTTTGGACTAGAGACACAGACTGAATGTGTCTAACATGATTATAAAAGTAAGATGGTTATAGAGATGGATCCAGACAGCATCTGAGTCAGGTTTCCAGACGGGCAGTGAATGCTGTGCTCCCTGCAAATTTATGGCAGCCAGTAAAAGTACCAGCAGTCAGGAAATGAATACACAGAATGTAAACTAGTGCGTCAACTCACAAAACAGAGTGGCAAGGTGTGGCAATCGCATCAAATTTCCTCTTCCATCTTCCTTCAGGAAGTACTCAAACTGCGTGATAATTCTTACTCTAATGCTCTGCCTTTATCCAGCTGAAAAGGAAGAGGGTGTGTATCCTTCTCACACACCAAAACCTTTATTCCAGCATCCACCTTGCTTGTGTTGTCCTCTCACAGCAAAGCAACAGGCATGAACCCTTTATGCACTAGAACATCTATATAACTTGCTACAGGCAACAGGAGTCTCAAACAGTAACTCAGTTACAAGCTGTGTGCAATGATGAATCCAGTTTCACACGCAACGTGCTGTTTTAGGAAGAGTGCCTTGGTAACCTGACCAGATTTCTCCTGAGGTCACTTTGCAAGACTTGACACTGGTCTAACACAAATATTTCTTCTGATGGGATCCCAGAACATATGAGGATTTGACAGACAATTTTTGGACTAAAGAATATAGGAGATTCCTGGAAAGACAGTTGTCAAAAGGAAAATGGTGCTAACTCCCCAAATCTTCAATACTATTTTCATTCTCTCTAGTGAGTCTCCAAACCCATTGACTACCCAGATCCACTGTGATATGCTCTTTCAGTCATTGGTATTTAAGATAAAAAGAGCAACACAGTTGAAAGCAAGGTGTGGGAATAAAATGGAATGGATCGATGTTAAAATTTGAAAGGACACAGGTGAACAGAAAAGTATTAGTAATGTGAATTTTCGAATTAAATTAATGAATGTTGAAGAGAAAAATCCACATGCAACTAATCTTCTCCACAACCACATTTCTACCCAGTTGTGCAACAGTGTATTTCCACATGTTTGTGGGAAAGCACTTCTGTATTTTCACTGATATAAATACATGCAGAAAAATTGCAGCAAACACATGGACTCGGTTCATACCAGTTCAGCTGGCTACTCTGGGTGGAGAACACAAACAATTCCAAGAGCTGTGGAATTGTGGAATCTGTGAAAATCTCTTTCTTACAAAGTGGCAACTTCTTTCTACACTTCTGTCTTTTTACCTTTTGTTCCCCTCATATTTTCTATTGTCTGCTGACAGCAGTCCCAGATCCTTTCCAATGGCCCTTTTATCACTGCTGTGATCTAGCACTACCTCCACTTTCCCTCTCCAATCCCAAACCCTTTGTCTCTTCCCAGTATTCCCAATGCTCCCAGCACCACAATACTCCCAGGTCTCCGCTTTCTTTCTTCTACATACTCAAATCCCTGACTGCAGCACTTCCAGTTACCTCCCATCTCCTCTACCCTTTTGGTATAAACTAAAGAATATGTTCACTAGCAGAGTTCAGCAGCCATTCTATCAGCGGTAGTATTGATGAAATCTCAAAACTTCATTTTTTAAAAAAAGTTGTTTGGAATTTAATTGCTGATATTTTCATCTTTTCTCCCAATAACTAGCGCAGCAGAACTGATAGATGGAATAAGAAAATAAGCTTCATTTTCCTGTGGTGAAAATACACCTAAATAAATACGTAAGAAAACATGCTTTGTTACAAAGCTGGGGGGGGGGAGAGAGGAGGAAGAAAGCACTAGATGTTTAAAAGTTTTTCAATTTCCATAACACAAGCATCAAATGTGTCTGTTATATCTGAATCTCTTGCAGGGGACACAGTAGTTACATCACAGGTAAAAACTGGCAATTAAGTGATTGTTCTTCTGTTCCAGGGCCATTCTGAATTACAAACCGATCAGTAATGCACTACCAGATCTTCCTCAGGAGGGATTGAGCAATGTCATTTTTCACAAGGGTGACAAAGCAATTTTGTGTTGTGGAGCAACATCAAGGAAAGCTGCTCTGACTTGTTACAAATAAAGTTAAAAGAGATGCCAAGAGTGATAACAGAATGTGGGCAAGCTATAGGATAAAGCATGGTTTCTAAAACTGTTACCACTTTTACAGTAGAGTCTAATACTTTATTCATAACACAGCATAACCTAGGCTATGACCAACATTATAAGCTTCCCATAAAAAAGCATTTATTTCAATATAAAGAAAAATAGAAGATCCCTTTTCAAGCAGACTGTATTTAACAGAGCAGAGGAAGACAGAGCTACTATGGAAACTTACCTGTCTGTGTAAGCTCTCCCATTTCGCACAAAGAATGACTAGGGTAACGAGGCAGGCTGCTTAGGGAACCATCCATTTGGGCTGCAGACCCTTTGGACATATGTTTAATGAAAGCTTCAAGCTGAGGATGAGAAGGTTTCCTAGAGAGGTAAACCAAAATGTGAAAACTTCCAAAAGCATATGGGAAAACAGCTCAAGAGAGTCAAGTATTCTAAGTATGTCAGCTCAGAAATTTCATGGTGTGAGGTTATTTCCCACTGAGACAACATCTGCTCTTACTCAGGACTTTTGCAAGTATGCAAAAGAAATCAACTACTTACTAACTACCAAAGAGCTATAGGGAGATTGATGTCTTGTCATGTTAAAATTATTATACCTTTCGGTAAGTAATTTGGAAACTTTTTTTTGGGTTTTTTGAACGCAGTCACTAATACTGTTGTAAATTAAAAAAAAAATAAAACCCTTACCAAAAAAATACTCTCTCCAGTTTCTGAAGTACCATTGCACTTTACACCACAGCCAAAGGCACTAACAATCTATAAAGAGGGTCAAATAACCAGTATTTTAAGTAGATGATCTGGAAGGAATTTTTAAGTTTTGTAATGTACAATGCTGATTACAATTTCAGCCTTTATTTCTAATTACTTCAGGCTTCAAATCAAATAGCACATGTAGCCTCAATTAAGTGGTGTCCAGAAAGTAGTATCCAGTGGCCCCATTAAAATTGGAAGTCGTTGTTTTGGGTATTGTACTATCACATGGGGAGAAAGAATCCAACATGGCTGGACACTTAAACAGGTAAGATACCCCCACAATGCAAGTAATGAATACAACTGGAAAAGAGATATACACAAAAAAATCTAGGTTAACTCACAGAAACAGAATTCAAGTCAGTGAAAGAATGCTTAGATCTCCTAAACTGTTCTGCAAATTTCAAATGCACTACAGACTCAGTTCACTGTTGTACTGCTGCGCTGAAAACTACATATACAAAGCAGTCCACAAACAATGTAGTTGAAAGGGATTTAAACCTTTAAAAAAAAAAAAAAATCTATGATCATGCTTCTACTACAGAAATACATTACATAGGGATTTCTTTGTTAAATGTCAACGTTCAACAAATGTCACACAGTCACCTCTCCACTTTTGTGCAGAACTAAATCGGAAACTGTTTGGCAACCCAACTCTGCCCCAGATGGCTCTCATTTTAATAGGACTTTCAGCCTGAATACGGTAAATTTTTTTTTACATTGCTCACAAAAAAAAAATATATATAGAAAAAGAAGATAAATTTGGTCAGAGAACTTTTACAGAAGTCTGGGGTTTGTGTTTATTGTTCATATTTACACTTTGCTAGAATGATAAACTGTTTTGATACAAAAACCTCAATTCTAAAAAAACCTTCCAGAGTTGCAGGAACCACTAGAGGGAGCAACAACATTACTGAAGTATGAGTAAGTGTCTGGAATCAAAGTTTACTAGGGCATGCTTACATAGAAGAGCCGACCGAGAAACTCTCTTAAGAATGAGAAAGCACCTCTTGCAGAGCTATGCTCACAGCATGCATATATAGGAGGTCTCATAAGAATCAGTGCCTCTTTCAACAGAAAGATAGCTCATTGTCATATCATTTTATAAAACTTGAATTTTCCAGTATTTAATTTACCTTCAGAAAAAAAAAAACTTGGGAGGAAAATATTATAATAAATTATGGTACAACTGCCAGTAAGAAAAAATGCAAAATGAGACCAAAAGCAAAATCAGAGAAAAATATCAGAAGAATTTTTTCATTTTTACTTCAAATTGAAAGGAAAACCGGCCAATTTATGACATTCTAAATCCACAGCTGCTTCTGTATATTATGATTTTAACAACGCAAATGAAGATTAATATTTGAGAAGCAGAGGTACATAAAAAAGGCTTTGTTCTTTTCTAAAGCAGTGGAGGCTTCCTGTTGTACTAAGCGTACATTAGAAAGCTTAATCCAGCTCCAGATATGAATTTCAAACAGAACTTTTTGTACATTTCACTATTTTTACAGCCTAGCAGTGCAATCCGAAAATGGAAGAATTAAGTTGAGAAAATTAAATTAAACCCATTAGCAAATAGCTTTTTAAGCTTGTTACAGACATAGCAGGCTGAACTACCAATTTTCTAAACTTTGCACTTCAAAGAACTCTAAACATGAATAAACTGTCAATCAATTTTCCTTAAACCCTGTTTACTTAATTAGCAAATTCTGCAAATACATGTGCAAGAAAACGAAAAGAACTGCATTATCCATTCTGCTTCTTTTGCTGCCTTGCTTACAAAAACCTGAATTCTAATGGAATTGAACCTGTACTGATAAAACTGTCAGCAATCACTTGTGGGAAGAAAGAAAGGAAAGAAGAAAGAAAAGTATTTATCAGTGCTTTGCAAAAAGATTTATCTAAAAAATGGCAGGCGAGACAAACTAACATCCAAGATAAAATGTATGATAATTGATAAAATTATATTCCAATGTATTAATATAGCTTTTCATATACATACATAGATGCAGGTTACTTAACTTCGGATTACATTATTTTTAAAGTGAGCACAAGTTAAGCACATGCTTGCAGAAGTGACTTATGAAATATGACTGTTAGACATATTTCTGAATATAAATTCAAAGCTTACTACTTAAATAAATTCTTAATACTTAAATAAATATATTCCAAGGGAACAAAAAAAATAAAAATCAAACAATAGAAATAAGAGCCATTCTGCCTGAAGGGGACGTACATCTCAGGCTACAATATACTTCTATCCTGAATGTAATCCTCATGTATGTAAACAAATTCTAAACGTACCAGCAATTCTCCTAATTAACCCTGTACAACTGAGCAAATAAAAACTTATTGTTCTCAACAGCAAAATTTACAGCACCATTCAGGCTACTAGCTAACAAATGATTCCCCCTCCCCGCCCCAAGATTTCTCTTTTATTTAGAATATGAATCCTCCTGTTGCATTGGCCAATTTACAGATGCCGCAGAAGATGGAGTATCTAGGCAACACAGCTAAGACTGCTGGGACTGTTTGAGCAGGAAGCAAAGAAAATTACTCAGTTGTATAGTTGAAAAGACTGAAATAGCCTTAAAATTTTATTTCCATAAAGTAACCAGAAAATAAAAATGGGCTAAAGAGATATCCTTCTGTAATTTGCTGGACATTACGACGGTAAGGTACATTTGGGAAATGTATTAATACAATAAATATTTCAAATTTTGTCAGAACATGGAATGGCTTTTCGCCTAACACCATTAGTAATAGCCATACTTCTTCCTAAGTTTGAACATTTATTTCCCGTTTTTAATGTCTCTTAATTTGCCCTCTCATTATTTTGTCTTTGTAAAATAAAATAAATTTTACCTGTAACAAAACTGAGGGTGCTTCTTTTCCCTCAAATAATGAATTCAGCTTGTCTTTTTGTTATTTACAAACTAAACACTGGGATAATAGATCCCAGATTTAATAATGTAGTTTTCATGCACTAGCATTAAAATGGACCAACATTTAAATCCTTATTCAACATGTAAATATCTTATTTGTAAAGGTCTTAAAAAGCTTTAATACTGAAACGTCATCTCTTTATTGCTACACTGTAACCAGCGTACATGGAAAGAAATCATACTGTGCAACAATTTGAACTATACGTGTATTTCTGACAGCAACTGAGGTGACATCCTTCAATAAAAATTTCCTTTTTCCTTGAGGAGTTTAGATACAAAAATGTAGAGGTATTTTATTTTTTTATGAGAAGCAAACACTAATTTGCTGGTTGTTCTGAATTAACACAAAGTGAGAAATACAGTACCAGGGTGAGTATATGCACATGACACCTCAGAAAATCTGCTGATAGACTTTGGATGGCTTAGCTATAACGGCACAATATACTGTGTCAGGAACATGCATGAAAATACATTTATTGCATCTATGATTTATGTGCAAAGGTATGAAATATAACTTACGCAGCTCAACATTAAGTTCAAACATATTATACAGCAAGGCCTCAAATCTTCCATAGCAGCACAGAAACTTTGTAATAGGACATTTTTGCACCCTACCCCCATGAGACTAACTGAATTCAAGACTTCAAGGTCAGTATTTAGGAACTGATATGGGAGACAGTAGGGCTTTCTGCCCCTCGATAAAGTGATGCTCGGAGTGTTTGAGTGCATGGAAGCCTCTTTTGGTAAGAGGTTAGCTCTTTGAGCTAATTGCCTTTGTTTAAAAAAATAAAATAAAATAATAATAATAAAGAATCACAGCATGAAGACCACTGCCAGACTTGACAGTTAATTCACAGAGCAAGAAGAAAATCATCCTTGCTTCTCACGGCTACTAGTCTCAGGACCACTCAGGAAAATATTATTATTGATTTATATTGTCTATTTGTGAAACATTTTCTTCCCTAGTGATCCTTGTGAGCAGAAACTTTTTTTTATTAAAGAATTAAAACATAAAGAGAAATCAGATCTAGAGTAGAGTTTTGTTCCTCGTTTAGACCTGAGCTGCAAATCAGACCCAACAAGGTCAATTTTGGTAAAAATTCCCCACCCCTCAATCCTTATGTTTATTAATTTTAGGATTACTTTTGATCAAAATTAATTCCTTGATAGGAATAGGCTGAGATTGCTTTAACATTCTTTCCTATCAAAGCTATTGGACCACTGAACTATTGTCATATTTCTACTGTGTATACTGTAAAATGAAGTACAGTGTAAGCCTTGTTTCTTCAAAAATCCTGATGGTCAACAAACCACAGTATTCGATCTGTCCTCCCACTCATTAAACTGAATACTCTTTTGATCCACCTACAAATTTCAGAGTACATATCTACAAAAATTGCAAAGTTAATCTAATTAAGATGAAGTACAGTATTTAAGAAACAGATGTGGAAAGACATTATCTTGACAAGACTACATGCAACTACAGTTTATTTAATAATTTACATGTTCATAAAAATTCAAGAGTGGCGTAAGTAATGTACCTTCACCACCATATAAGATGCTACAGACAAAAAAATACGTTGCTCAAGGTTATGATTAAAAGAGAAACTGCAATAGAAGAAATAGTAATTGATCCCAATAATTAAAGTAAGAGTCATTTATTTA